CTTTAATCCCAGCACTCAGGAGGCAGAGGCAGGCAATCTCTGTGAGTTTAAGACCAGCCTGGTCTACAGAGCTAGTTCCAGGACAGCCAAGGCTACACAGAGAAACCCTGTCTTGAAAAACCAGAACTAAAAAGTGTGTGTGTGTGTGTGTAGGGGGGGGGATACATATAGCATCTGCCTCACAGCCCCACTGTAAACACTAGTGAAGAATTTAAGAAAAACATTAGTAAGTTAATAGAAACTCCCAAAGATCTAAAAGGATGACTCCTAGCTAGGACTCTTAGTGATTGAGGATACGATCCTGAACCAGCTATCTCCTGTAACTAGGCAAGATTTTCAGTGGAGGGATTGGGACCCCAACCCAGTTATAAAACCTTTGACCTAAAATTCGTCCTGACTACAAGATGTACAGGGAACTTAAAGGTGGTTCAGAAATTGTGGAAGTGGCCAACCAATGACTTGTCAAGCTTGAGACCCACGGGAAAGGGAGCCCAGCCCTGTAACTGCCTGAAGGGCCAGGAACCCAGAGATCCAGGATTGAACCAAAGACTACCGGGAGAGAGAGAGAGAGAGAGAGAGAGAGAGAGAGAGAGAGAGAGAGAGAGAGAGAGAGAGAGAGAGAGAGAGAGAGAGAGATATCAATTAATGATCCCTAATATATTTGGCTATACTTGTAGACAGGAGTCTAGCATAATCGTCATCAGAGAGGCTTCTTCCAACTGATGGAAACAAATGCAGAGACTCACGAACTCAGGGCATCCTGCAAAAGAGGAAAAATTGTAGGAGCCAGAGGAGTCAACGACACAAGAATACCCACAGAATTAACTAACCTGGGCTCATAGGGACTCAGAGAAACTGAACTGACAGCCAGGGAGCCTGCATGGGACTGACCTAGGCTCTCTGCATGTGTTACAGTTGTTAGCTTAGTCTTGTGGGAATCCCAACAGTGGGAGCAGAGGCTGTGTCTGAGTCTTTTGACTGCTTTGGGGACCCCTTTCTTCCTACAGGGTTACCCAGCCTTAATATGAGGGAAGGTGCCTAGTCTTACTGCAACTTGGTATGCCATGTTTGGTTGCTATCCAATGGAGCCCTGGCCTTTCCTGAAATGAAACGGGGAGGAGGGGCTGGGATGAGAGAAGGGAGGGGATGGATGTAATATGAGAGAATAATTTTTTTTAAAGAACTAACAATAAAACAGAAAGTAAATTTAGAGATAAAAAAGCAGAGTTTAAATTTCATTAAAACAGAGGATGATATAAAAAATCCATTGATGCCATTCACTAAAGGACTGAAAGGGATGGTTTTCAAAGGATTTCTCAAAAGTCATCATTCATCCACTCATCCCTAATTTAAATAAACAAATCCTTGTGAACTAAGAATAAAAGAACATTTCCTCAACTTCAACGTTAGCTGTAATTTTATCTCTTTGTATTGTTCAAAGATTAGAGCAATGGATATACATTATCAGAGAATAAATCCCTTTCCGCTGTAAATGCTTTTGAATTTATTTTTAAAAGATCACCACACATACAATGTACTTTGAGTCAATTCACCACCCACTCCTTCCTCTAACGCCGTGCCTCCTGGGTCCACTGTCTACACCCCTCCAACCCTTTCCCCAATTTCATGGCTGTTTTTTTAATGAACACATTGAGTCCAACTTGTGATGCTCATTTATACACTGGTGTGGAGCCATCCACTGAAACATGGCCTACCTACCAGAAATCATATCCGTGTGTGTGTGTGTGTGTGTGTGTGTGTGTGTGTGTGTGAGAGAGAGAGAGAGAGAGAGAGAGAGAGAGAGAGAGAGAGAGAGCAGCTAACTCTCCCTCTGCTAACAGCCATCAACTGTCAATTACCTGTCAGCTGGAAATGAGGACTTTCGCACACCCTTCGCCCTCCGAACTGGAATGCTGCCTGACTTGATCTAGTGCAGGTCTTGTGCAGAGAGCCAGAACCGTTGTGTACTCATGGGCACAATGGCATTTCCATGTCCAGAATATACTGTTTAGCCCGAGCCTGCCCCAACCTCTGGCTCTCACAATCTTTCAACCACCTCTTCAAAATACTCCGAGTTTGAGGACAGGTCTATGTTACAGTAATGGCTGAGCACTCCGCAGACTAGCTGTGCATTTCCGCATTAACGACCCTGCACTGCACAAGGGAGTTTCTCTGATGAGAGCTGAGATTAATTAGAGCTGGGCACTAATCTGTGGGCACAGGTGTATATTTAAGGAACAGTTCGATAGCATCCATCCCCTAGGACCTACGAGTTCCTCAACCATTGGTTCTTGGCTATATCTCCAGTACCAGGAAGAGCAGGGGCCTGAGTCTATCTCATGGCTTAGAGACAGTGTGGTAAAGGCCAACACATCTCTGCACTGAGGATCTTCAAGATTGTTCCTGTTTATCCCACATTGCCTCGGGAACCTGGTGAGACACTGAGCTGTGAGAGGACTCATTTTGATAATGGGAGGAAACAATTGCCAATAGAATATCATCAGCAAGTCATTTGTATCTTTTACTTATCTAATGTGTATATGTGCCCACATGCACACAGGTACCCAGAGAGGCCAGAAGGCTATCAGATCCCCTAGGGCTAAAGTTAAAGAGGGTTGTGAGCTGCCTGATGTGTGTGCTGGGAACCAAACCCAGGTCTCAAGAGCAGCAAGTACTCCTAAGCACTGAGCTATCTCTCCAGCCCCCATGCGTATCTTCTTGCTCATTTTAATTATGTAGTTATTCCCTCAAAAGATGCGCATGCCTCTGAAGTCTTCTAATCTTTAAAAATGTAGCTGACCCATTTGTTTTCACTTGTTTTTCTTTTAAATTCACAAAGCTTAGCTATGTAAGAAGGGAAGAAAAAATGCAAAATACTTGCAAGATTTTGGTTCTGATTTAAACCATATTTTAGCAAGGACTTTAAGTGTAATTTGGTATAAGATAAAAGATTCATTGTGCAATCCTACTCTTTCTGCATCATTAATCAAATAAATTTTTCTTAATGCAGTGTTGTTTAAAGACTAATCAATCTATGTGCATGCATGCTTTGCGTTCACTACAAAGTTGTAATATGGAATAATAATTCTCCCACCTACATTTTGAATATCCAGTATCACCATCAACGATCAAGGTACTTTCCCAAGGTACTATACCCAGTTAATATATGCTTGGATGGATGTGTTATAAAAAGAAAAACAACAGGAAGAGTGACCAAAACGTGTCTTCTCTCTGGAAGACAGTATCAAGTCTTTTCTTTCTTGTGACTTAACTTCCTGCCCACCCTCCTGCACATCCACTGAAATATGAATGCTCCTTTCACTTACAACAACAGAAAATGTTTTGTTTTCTGTTTGTGTTGCTCTTGTTTAAGAACTGGCTTTCACTGACTTTCATGGATCTATTGTACATGGGAAGTAGAAAAAGACAAGGTCTCCTGGGTAAACTGGGAGCATGGGATCATGGGAAAAAGTAGGAGAGGAGGGGAGAGGAGAGAAAGGGAAGAGAGGGGGAGATTGGCTCGTGCCTTCAGCAGCAACCTATTTCTGTTTATGGGCCTATGTGCCTAGCTCTGTGGTCTATGTGCCTCTACATAAGGTCTTATCTGATTTAAAGCGTTGTTTAAAAGGCTCTACTTCAACTGCATTCAAACCCTATTATTTGAAAAGTTAGTCTTGCTGGACAGTCATTATCCATATGCCTGCCAACCACGTCTTTAGTGCCCAATGATTGTATATATTTCCATCCATCCTGTATAACTCTTGGCACTTACAACCACAATTGCTACACAATTTCTGCTGCCAGGTACAATCTTCAAACGATACAAATTTATTCTTGTGGTGCTATAGAACAGGGCTGGATACTGGTCCCCTGGGCTAATCTCAACACACCAACAGGCCCATCCCTAAAGGAGAGTGTTCTGCCTAAACGCCTACATTCTTACCTAGGGCTCTTCCTCTATAAAAGCCAAAAACAGCAGACAAGCCTTTCTTATACTGCCTCCTCTGACATCTTTTACAGCCTTCTTCCATTTTTAATGGCCTTTGATTAAATGACCTAAAGACCACCCAAATAATTCAGGATCATCTCCCCTTTTTAAAACTTTTCACCTAAGCATTTTTGAGACAGTCTCAAGGTTATAAACCAGGCTGGTCTCAAATTCACAGTCCTCCTGCCTCCGTCTTCCAAGTGCTGAGATTCCTAACTACATTTTAATTTAGCACATCTGCAATGTACTCTATCCTCATGCTTCTGGCAACTAAGTTATTAACATCTTTGGGGAGTCATTATTCTACTTTCTAAATTACTGTATAAAAGAAATCAAACATAACCCATAGTTAATTTTGTCATGGGAAAGGGTACTAGTTGTTCAAATGAAAAAAAAATGTAAATGATGGAAACTCATATTTTACTATTTTTCTAGGCATTACGCATTAGCTATAATGAAATAAAGAAAATCTTGGAATTGAAAACAATGAGAATAAACAGAATTAATGCATGTAAAAGCATCAATTTCTTTTTCCTGTGCTGGGCATCTGACCAAGGTCCTTCCATGTACTGAGAAAGCTTTCACCCACTAAGCTATAGCCTCAAAAGCTGACAGAAACTGTAAAAGCAGATACATTATCCTAATGTAGAATTCAGAACTACTACTCCACAGCAGCCACAGCCCACACCATATATAGACTGTTACATCAACTTAAACTAGGAAGAAGTAGCTGGAAGGACCATATCTAAGCATACTTTGAGTCCTTACAACCTATAAACAAAGTATCCACAGAATCGCTATAGCATGTCTGTGGTGAAAATCAAAACTTGTGGGCCAGCAAGATGGCTCAGTGGGTAAAACACTTTGCCTCGAAGCCTGATGACGGAGGCCCAACTCCTAAAATGTGTCTTCAATGTCCACGTGCCACGGCATGCACACACACGAGCATTTGCACACGCACATGCACACCCTAAAAAAATATATACACACAAAACACATATACAAATAAATGTAATCTTAGACATTTTTAAAATATTTTTAAAAATAAAACGTTTGCTTTTTGAAATAACACTAGACTGCACCGATTTCTTGAGACTCCTCCAGCACGGCCCTACCCATTTAATCTTCTCAATTTAGCTTTGTATCTTTTCTGACTCCAGGACAGGAGAGCAATGTTTGATGAACTCAAATCATACCCAGCATGTACCAACTCTTTGATTCGAGTTTTTAAAGTATTTATGCTTGCATCCAAAACCCTAGGGTTTTCGATTATTCGTGAAATGCTGATGTTTTCTTCTACTAGGCAGTCTATTTTATCATTGAACTTTTTCTCTGATAGGAAGACCATGTTGAGATAGCTTAGGACAAACTTCTGTACCTCCTCGTCAGTGCATCCGAGAGAGAGCAGCTTCTCTTGGATATTTGCATAGTTTCTTTTGGTACAGTCGTTGGAAAGATCTAGGATTCCAGCTCCTGGGCCACATATCAGAAGCAGCAGATCCTCCATGTTTAAGTTGAAAGTTGACTGCAAAAATTCAATGTTAGCTTTCACCCGTTTCATGCTCTGAGTTAAGATGGAAGGATTTTTAGAAATTATCTTCCTGACAAAATCTGTGGGATCGTTGTGACCTAAGGATACACCGGTCTCCTGCAAAAACTCAACCATTTGTTTATTCAAATTCAGGCTATTGGAGAAGGTTCTAGGAGCCCTGGTCAACAGTCGGCAGAGACATTTATTGGTCAATCCAACAGAGCAGAGGAACTTTATATTATTCTCTAAGTTTAGGTTGTTATTAGACCGAAAAAAGGATTCAGGAGAACGCTCCAAAATATTTACAATTTCAAGGTCTGATGCCATAATCTTCCTCCACAGCTCCCATCGCTTTGAAAGACCTTCAGGAGTGCGTGTGATGGCTCGTGGGTACCTTGAGATGATGCTACCAATCACTCTGTCACTCACTCCTTTGGAGAGAAGGAATGTCCTCAGCTCCTGCTCGTTCGTACCCACCCTGTTGAAAACTCCAGGCTGCCGTCTCCTTGCTAAGTCAATATCAACTCCCATGGTGAGCAAGTTGTTGAGCAGGTCCTCATTCTCCGAAGGTTCCCTGTCTTCACTGCCACATTTCCCACTACAAGGCCGAAATGAAACCGACTTGAGAAAAACTTCTGCTGAATACTGGATCATCCAACCTCTTGAGCCAAAGAGGAAGCTCCTTCCCATACTCCAGACTTTCCTTGACGCCATCATCAGAGAGGCCAAAGTGTTTCAAATGCTGTGTAAAATAACAGACAGCGTTAGCATGCAATATTATATGAATGCCTGTGTTAAAGAGCCTATGACAATATTAGGATCCCTTAACCACAACGGGCCTTTCCAGCAGAAAACACCGATTCCTTCAACTTTCCTGGTTCTGCACTCAGGCTCTGCCTCACTGCGTCTGTTGGATCCCCAGGGACAGAGGGCTCTCAACAGAAAGAGAAGCAGACCGGCATCACTGCTGCCCCAAACTGCCCTGCCCTTTACTGTTCTTCTCACTTCACTGAGCCTGTTTTGTCCATCTGGTATCACTTCTCCACCCGTCTCTTTTCCTGGTTTCTACATCTTGGTTTCTTCCTATTACATGGCATTTTCACTACCATCTTGCCTTTCAACTCGGCAGATGTCTGACCTGCCCCTACCCACACACAGTAGATTTCTTTGCTTCTGACCACCTTAATTTCAAACTCTAAATGTAAGCCCTAAAAAAACAACACTTCCGGTTGTCTAATTTCCATCTTCGGTGTCTTTTTCTGGATTTCTGTGATCTCTTTAAATGGATCACAGTGACTCTTAACCTATTCAAATCTCTGGACAACAGCTGACAATATCAATTTCTACCTCAGTTTACCAAATTGTTTCCCTGACCGCAATGCAATATTTCTAAGTTAATTTCCGTCTTCAAAACAGGATGGAGTGTTCAATGGTATAGCACATGCTTAACATGCATGAGGCCTTGAGCTCAATCTTCAATACAAAAACAGAAAAGGAGGAACTGGTTTTCCAATTTAAGGGTTCTTAGGTCTTAAATCTGGGACAATTGGCTGAGGTGCCAAATTAACATGTCACAGCCAACCTGGCTGCCATGTTCTCCCAGCATGCCCCAGTCCCTACAAGTTGCCACACCCCAACCCTACCTTGAATGCTCCTTCCAGCCCAGGGGCTGGGCTGCCCTCCCCACAGTTGCTCTTCCCTATATAATCCAGCTATTTGGCTCCGCTGGCCCTTTTAATCCTTTCTGGGCATTTTTGCCTTCTGGTCTCTTGGCTTCCACACAAGGTTCTCCTCTCTCCCTCTCCCCCATCTCCTCACCTCACAGAGTCCGGCTCAGTCTGCTGGTCATGTCCACCTTGAACTCTTTCAAATGCCTCTGGCTGTTTGGCTGCTCTCTTCCTCATATCTACAATAAACCTTCTTTTCTATCACACCTAGGTACAAACATGTCCTCCTTTTATTTCTGAGTAGCTCTTAGTAGGTGAAGCACTCCAATGATGGCCATATACCCAAAGGTATATAGGTAAATCCAATTGAACTCAATGGCTTGAGAGGGAGGAGAGAGAGAGAAAGAGAAAGAGAGAGAGAGAGAGAACACAAAATTGAACGGTTATGGAATGGGATGGGAATGTGGGAGGAGTAGAAGGAGGGGTGAATATAAGCAAAATTCTCAAGTAATTAATAAAAAATATACATCAAAAAACAAAAGGCAAAAGGCTCTAGCTTGTACAGTTCAACCCTTTCCCTTCCAGATCCTCTTGGGTGACCTCTGCTGGAGAACACTATCAAATGACAATCAGATAAGTTTTATAAAAAATTTTATAAATAAGAGTGTAAGATCCAGTGAGATAAAGAGAAAAAAAAAACAGCATAATTCTTAAATTGTACTTGTCTTATTCTGTGAAAATTTCTGCTTTTAAACTGGGCGGTGGTGGCGCACACCTTTAATCCCAGCACTTGGGAGATAGAGGCAGGCGGCTCTGTGAGTTCGAGGCCAGCCTGGTCTACAAGAGCTAGTTCCAGGACAGGCTCCAAAACCACAGAGAAACCCTGTCTCGAAAAACCAAATAAATAAATAAATAAATAAATAAATAAAAATTTAAAAAATTCTGCGTTTAGTCAATTTTCCTCAGATTATTATACCATAGTAAACAGGTAAATGTGCCACAGAATATTCGAGAGAAATTCTAATACAGATAACCAAAAAATAAGCAAAAAGGTATGCCAAGACAGCTAAAAAAAAAAAATCTGTTAGGGTTTCTGTTAGATCTGTCACAATTAGATTTTGTTTCTCTTTATATAACTTATCCTCAAGCAAATACTGTCTAAATCATTCAACATGGCCAAGACTGAACTGGGCATATCTATGCAGCCCCCAAACCAGTTCTCCTCTGATTAACGTCATCTGTGATAAGCACCGTGAGGGCTGATTGTCTTCCTCTGTCTTATCCCTACAATCATCAAACCGTGCATCAGCTTCACTCACAAACACTAACAAGGAAATCTTGTTCTGAATCCTAGTCCATTCTAATCTCTTTGTCTTCCCTGTCTTTTCATCACTTTAACTGACATAACAAATAATGGATTTCACTTTATATATAGTCCTTTTCCTCCTCCAATGTTCCTCTTTTGCTTCTATGTCATACACATACATAGATAACTTATATAAATCTAAAGTCTACATTAGAAACATGCCCTATATTATTTCCCCCCATAATTCTATTTCCCTATCCCCTTCTTATTAGATCCCTTCCTCCCCAGCCAGTACTTTCCACTTTCATAAGACACACACCCTTTGTGAGTTTCACTTATATTGTCAAACTGTCTTTTCCTTCAGAGAGGGTCAATTTCTTGAACCCTAGCTGTACAGCAAAGTCTTGCATAAACACAATCTCCCTTTTAAGAGTTGTTGAGCTGAACCTGTAACCTCTGGCAAGGTGACTACATAGCCTAATGCAGTCTTTTTTAAGAAAGTAAATAACAAATATTTATTTCTATTTCCCACTCAAAATAAACCTTTTTAAAAAGTAATGTTAAATTTAACGAATAACATGAAAATATTGGTGACTGTAATTAATGAGGCCTGAGAAGGAGGATTTATGTTCCCTTCTGTCCCACAGATGGACAGCTAACGGGCTTTAAAAAAAAAATAGGTAATTCCTAGCAGTGGGGTACTACAATCCAGCTAATCCTCTGACAGAGCATTTAAGTATAGATTTTTTTTTTTTTTTACAGAACTACTTCTTCACATCTTATTTGTCTTACAATAGGAGACTTCGAATATCCCCAGAAAAGGTAAGGAGCTGATATTTCTACCATCGCACCTCCAATCCGGAAAAGAAAAGGCGAGATATCACCAGCGAGGTAGAGAATAAAGAGATCGATTGTGTGAGTCGCAGTACCTCCCGCAAACTAAATATTTCTCATTCACGAAGAAAACGGCAACAAAACGCCCACCTCCGTGCGAGCTGGGGGAAAGGCGGTGGAATCACAACGGGTAACCAGAACTCAGCGTTTCATATACATTTTCTTCTTAATCCCCCACATACACAGCGACGTAAAGGGTGGGCGCTGTCCCTAAAGTTACAAATTCTGACACAATCCGAGCTCCTTTGCTATCTGAAGTGGAGAGGACTTGAGGAGTCTACACTCAAAACCACCTTAGTTCCTCATCACAGGCTTTCCTTATCCCCAGCGCAATTCTGCAAAGGCCTTTGGCAAGGACACTGTAGAGCACAGACACGCGACCCACTTATAATCACTGCAGCAGCTCCCAGCCTCACCCGGAGCCACACACAGGACTCGCGCGGTAACAAAACTCGCGGCAAACGCCTTTTACTTTCGCTTCTAGAAGATCAGGAGAGAAGAGAGGGCGGAAGTAAAGACTAACTTCCGGCCTCCAGTCGGGCGCGGGTGACGTCATCGGATCTGCGTCCCCAGGCGGCGCAGGCCTAAATTCTCGCGAATCTGACCCTAACTGCCCAGCAGGGGGCGGCAAGAGACCGTTCTGGATGCTAGCAAGGGCCTCGAGCTGCTTTTGAAAGCAGGGCGGTTTCTCTTTGGGAATTTAAATTACCAATAATCGGTTTACCTGGTGAGTGAAGCCATCTGAATGTTCTTTGCTCTGCCTGTCTCCGCATTTTCTTCTGTGAACACCAGATGAAAGGGACGCCATTGCGGAAAAAGTGTAGCTGAGATATTGGAGGGTTTGGGGAATAGGAAGACCAAAGGTAGAGGGTGAAAGGTGAAAAGCAAGTAAGAAGATGATTAGTAATGTCCCGGCAGAAGGAGAAACTGAAGTAAATAACGAATTGGCAAATCGAATGTCTTTGTTTTATGTTGAGGCCACCCCGATGCTGACAACCTTGAGTAATGCAAAAACAAAATTTGTATCAGCGAATAAAAACTTACCAATAGAAGAGACCACAGATTATTTAAGCCCCATGCCAAGTATATGCAGAGTCATGCCGGAGACACCAGATTACAGAAACAGATTTACCAATGAAGCAACAGTATCATTCTGCTTGAGTGTAATAATGCTGTATACCCATGTCCAACCAGGGGGAGCATTTGCCAAAACTTCCAAAATTGTTATGAAAGGTTGTTTTAAAGTTCCCAAGGACCAATCTTCTAATCTCAGGGCTCCCAGGTACCCAACCAAACGTTTGAATGATGAGACTACCTCCACAGAAATTAGGTCTGTGCTGCAGTAAGATGGTTCTTCCTTTCCTCTGCTCCTCTTCCCACTTTTCAATCATGTTCTTGTTCCTAAGACTTATTTTCTGTGCCAAAATTAGTAAAGTTATAATTTGAAAGGGATTTTATCCTTTCAAAGCAGGCCTTCGAAGCAGCCAAATAAAGGAATGGACCTTGGTGTCTGACTTTAGGAATGTAATCTTAACAGTATTAGTAAGGGAGAGGGAATGGGGGAGGGTCAAGGCCTACAGAGCCATGATTGCCATGCTCAAGCTGGCTAGGGTCTCTTTAAAAACTTACAGAGTTCTGGTTGATTAAAGTACTAATGTTACTGAGAGGGTTTCAATAGCTAACATACTGTAATCTACCAAACAAAAAGCTAGCTCAGTTCCCTTCCTTTTGAGAACAGTGCTTTCTAAGGACCTCACAGTCCTCAAGAATTTATTCCGGACAGCTTACCCTCTCTGAAATTCATCTAAGCAGAGTCTAGAAGGACTTTTCCAGCCTTATTTCTTAATATAACAAAAGCCTGTGGCAAAGAACTAGATACTGGCTTGGAAAATATGCTGACTGCAGACCTGGGAGGATTCTGGATTCCGATGAGAGTTGGACTGACAGCTTAAGCAGGACAGAGTTGGCCAAGAGAAAGGGAACAATCCTTTGACATCCTGTTCAGCCATGTGAGTTTAAAAGCCTGTGCCATGTTTTGATCCCACAGAACTGTGCATTTACTCAATTACCATGGAAAAATTTTCAATCTTGGTAGAGAACTGTTCTTAGCAAAGAGATGGAAAACAGACACTCAGAAGGGTGGCATTTTCCTTGTTCAAAACTATTTACAGCATGTTTTAAAATTCCATCCTTAGAGATTTAGTCCTTTTTTATAGTGTAGTAGTTGTAAATTTAAATGCTTTGAAAGAGGAAACATTAAGCTATCAGTGGAATTTTTTTCTATAATGGGCCAGTTATTATCTAAAACATACACACTCATTTGTATGCTATTATTTTCTTCATTGCTTCTTTCTGTTTTTAATCCTTTCCTATTTCCTTCCCCCTTTGTGTGTGTGTATGTGCGTGTATGTGTGCATGGTTGTGTGTGTGTGTGTGCATGGGTGTGTGTATGTGTGTGTGTGTGTGTGTGTGTGTGTGTGTGAGAGAGAGAGAGAGAGAGAGAGAGAGAGAGAGAGAGAGAGAGAGAGAGAGAGAGNGTGTGTGTGTGTGTGTGTGTGTGTGTGTGTGTGTGTGAGAGAGAGAGAGAGAGAGAGAGAGAGAGAGAGAGAGAGAGAGAGAGAGAGAGAGGTCTGTGTCTCTGTACAAGTGCCTCGGGTCAGAAGAGGGCACCCGATCTCTGAAACCTTCCCAAATCTACTTCCACATCTCTGTGTACATAGGAATCATCATTCCCATTTCTATAAATCTTGGTATTCTGTTCAACCATTGTAATTCTAAACTCATTATATCTGGGTTGAAATGGCTTTAGTACATACATGTCATTCTTCCAGCGCAACAGCAATTCCTTGCAGACATGGTATCTGGCCACTCATCCATGTGGAGTCCAAGTATCAATTGTCCTCTAGTCCTCTGGCTATGCTAACTATACATGCTCCTGGTGCACACAGAACCCAGAATAACTGAGCCCCCACTAAAGTAATCTGCGTATAAAAGCACCAAAGAAAATGGAGACCGTTACAGAGTTTACTTGTACATCAGCCACCTCCTCAACTCACTCTGTTACATTGACTGGCTCACAGATTCTTTCTTCTAAATGGTCCCCAGAACTTCAGACTCTTCTACTTCTTGTCCCATTTCATCTATGTTCTGTCCTATCTCCACACTGATATCTCTAACAAAAGCATGAGTCTCAACAAAGTAAGTTTTCCTATAGGTCCCTGCATGGTTGGGGTAGTGAGGAATACCCCACTATGTCAAAACCTATTTTCCCAAAAAGGCAGTTTATTGCCCTGTTTTTCAGAGAAGGTAAGCATAAAGAGTTAAATAATTAGTCTTCTATCTTACAGGTACAGTGTAAGCAGTAACTGGACCCATGCTATCTGAAACCAGAGTCTCAGCCCAGAACCAAACTCCGCTCATCTCTGCAGCTCGGAATACAATCCCTCTTAAGTTGCAAGGCCTTAGCAGGACAAGCAGGAACTTATTTTTAACTGTCTTTAACTACAGACAGTACCTTTAATCTGAAGGGTATATTATTCCCATTTTGATCTCCTATTAATTTGCAAGGTATATTGTCCCTGTTTTGGTCTTACGATATTCAAGACTAATATATATATATAATTAGAATTGTGTGTCATTTTCATGCCTATCTGCAACTTTCTGCATTTTACTAGTATTAACTAATATATTGACTATGAAACTCTGTTTCTTTGGCATTCGTTGGCCATCCAGTACTTGTGCAACAACTGTGGTGACTGGAGAAGCGATGAAACCATAGAAATACTGCTTGCCCTAACATGTCTGGTGAGATACAGTTTAAAACACAGGGCTGTATCAACTCATATCCAAGGGCACATCTAGTTCTAAAATTCTGAAACTCTATTCTGTGGGATCTTTTCTCTCTCAGCACCTAAGTAGTGTGGTGATTTATTAAGAAGGTGTCTTATTTTTCTTCCTATCCCATGGACTCAAATCAATGCAAAAAAGGAAATGGGAGGTAAGTAGGCACTACTTATCAACGACAAACAAGAGGAGTAGATCAGTGCCAAGCCAAACAGCATGGAGGTTTGGCTTACTGCCCAGCGTCCTCACTTTTTATAGTATTTACTGCCACGTATCCTCTGGATCGCTGCGGGCCACTAGCAAGCCAAGTGGACATAAAGTGTTCTCACCACAGAAGCACGTGCAGAGTTTCCCACCACAGAATCCCCTGCAGGATTTCCTTCACCACTTTCACCATGAGTTGGACGCTTGACGTTTTCTCCTCTCTGTGCCCCCCCATCACTGCAACCCTTGCGGCATATTAATATCACCAGGGAGCCTCTTCTAGGGACTGAAGCCCAGCCCTCTATGCCAGGGGATTCTCATTTAATTGGTAGGATCAGATAATGGTATGATTTTGTTTTTTTGTTCTTGGAAAAGATTCTAATTAACAGCCAGAATTAAAAATCCTTTGAAACTAGAGTCCTTTTGTGCCCATATCCCTCAACTAAACTCAAAATGGAGGCTAATTCTATTCCTAGTCAAGGAGAAGTCAAGGACTTTCGTGTGGTGCAATAACACCACAGTTCAGTACTCGAGTTTAATCCCATAGAGTCCTGGACTCTTGGCTTCAGTAATTACACGTGGTTGCTGTAGTTAATCATGATCAAACTCTTCTGGCAAGGTCTATCTTTGACAGCTTCATATGTTCTAGGGTAGGAGTGTGTGGATTAGAAATGTTAGGCAGGAAAAACAGAAAAAGAAAAGAAATACAGAGACAGGACAGAGTCAGGAGGGCAATGCGGTGAATACTGAATCTGTGTTTATTCTTATTATCTTTAAATACCCCAATCCAAAAGAGGGGAAGCAATCAAAAGACTTTTTGTTTATCATGATGCAAAGAACAAAGTGTTTACTAGGTCAGGATATTCTGCTAGCAGCCACACCTACTAGTAGTCAAACCTCCTGTCAATAGCCTTGAAGGAGCAAGACTAGGCCTGAACTCTGACCTTTACTCAAAGTGGAATGGGTCCACTTTTGTGGACTCTGACACTCTTCCCTCAAAGGAAAATGAGGGGTAGAAAAGGAATCAGTTGCTGGGACAGCAAAGCAGCAGATGCTTGTCCTTCTGCCCCACATCCTGCTCAAACCACTTTAACAAACTTGTCCAACATGAAGTGTCACTTAGTGGCAGGAATCTGAGGGAAATTACACGAGGGAGCTGCCCTTCAGTAACACCTCCAGTCAAGCTGCCAGGCGGTTCTCAGCATTTCTCTCTGTCCGTCTGTGGTAGAGACACATTATGATTATTCTCAGATAGCTTTTATTTTCTCCATGTTTTGTCTTGTTGATTCCAGAATTGTTTCTCTATGGATGTGTTTACAAATCTCTCCCATCCTATGGTTTCATCAGTCTTAAGTGCAGGATGGCATCAGTGCTATACCTAAATGAAAGAAAGGGAAGAGTGTATGTTTTTAGAAGTGAAATTTTAGCATAAACATGAAAAAACAAC